CCTGCTGCCCCCACCTCAGCTGGGGTGCAGGTGCCAGCACCCTGGTGTCTTCTCCCCCTGAGGACGTTGGCCCTGTGATGTCACAGGCTGGTTGCCATGGAGATGTCAGGTAACGAAGCAGCCCAGGGTGAAATCACAGGCTGCTCTTAGCCCAGCTGGGACCGGGCCGCGTCACTGCCAGAAGGCACTGGAAAAACACAGTTGCATCAAGGGTGGAGGCTGGAGATAGCCGAAGGGGACCACTGGCCCCTGCCTTTGCTGCTGTCCCCCATTTCCCAAGGGAACCAAGGGTCGCCTCTTTTCTGTCCAAGTCCATATTCTACTCCCCTGTCCTCAAGGTCCAAGCCCCCTTTTTGGGCTGTTCCCTTCCCCCTTCCCCAGCCTCAGGAGTGACAGGCTTCTGGTTGCCACAGTAACAGGAGGGCCCTTCTCCATCCTTCACAGAGAGGGCTGTCACCCCGAGGTCTCCTCCACCCCTCTGCCTTTCCCCCCAGCGCCCTGCACACTTACAGCCTAACCACAGGGGCAGTTTCTCCTGATGTGGAGCCTGAACCTCTCCTGCTGCAAAGCTCACACCCGGCTCCTCGCCTGCTCCCTGGGGGGCTGCAGCAAACCCCTGGTGCCCCTCTCATCTGCTTCAGAGCCACCTCTGTGTCCCAGACAATTAGTCACCATGGCCACCATGTGTCCCAAGAGTGTCTCCCCAGGAGAGCGGGGAGGGCCCTGCTCAACCCTGCTCTTCCCCAGCTGCCCAGCACAGGCCAAGCCGAGCTCCCCCGAAAATCACATAGTCACCAAGCAGTGACCTGGTGTAGGGCTCCTCCCTGGCCAGCTGCAGGCACCTGCTCTAAGCTCAGGACACCTGCAGCCAGGTGCACAGGTGGGCCCTCCAGCCCCCACTGCCCAGCTGTAACAGCCACGCCCTGTCCGGGCTCTGGAGGGGCGGCTCCTCCCACACCGGGTGGGCTCCAGTCTCTACACTTTCTGGGCAGGCGTGGCCCCAGGGGCTTCTGCTTCTCACCTGCGATTCCTGAGAATCTCAGAGCAGGAGGGGGTGCGTGCTCCACAGTGGCTGCTCTGCCCCTGCCTCGGGTTCCCTTTCGGGACAAGGGCACAGATCTTCGCCAGTCAGTCCTCTTGCAGAGGGGGTCTCTGGAGGGTAAGCCCTTGGCCCCCGCCTGGTGAGTCACTGCCTGGGAGCAAGCCACAGAGCCTGGCAGCCATCTCATCCCCAGCAGACTGAGTGTCCTCTCCCCAGGACATTCATTTACAAGTCACCTGGGCCAGGATGATGGCTTCATCCTTGGGTTAGTTCAGCTCAGAGCTACCCAAGGAAAAGAAAGGGAAATCCCTTCCTTTCCACCCACAAGGGACTCCTCACACCCCACCTCCTTCTGTGACTTTGCCAGCCTGCACTCCACCTCTCTGGACCGCTGCTCTAACCTTCCTGCCTCCAGGCAGCCTGCCCAGATTGTCCCCCTGCTGTATCAGGTGACTCCGTCACCAGGAGCCCTGCGGGGCCCAGGCGGACTTTCAGTGATTTGCTGCTGCTGCTGCTGCTGCTGCTGCTGCTGCTGCTTATGAACCACCTGGGATGCAGTGGGTGCTGGCCTGGCCCCTTCCCACCCACTGTCTCTCTCTGGACCCTTCAAACAACACTGCGAGTACACCTGCATGTCCACCGTAGAGGTAGCAAAACTGAGGCTCAAAGAGGTTGAATCACCTCTGAAGGGTCACCAGCTAGTAAGTATCAAATAGGTTCAAAATGAGGCCGTTCCATCCAGGCACGTGGTGCACACCTATACCCCCAGCTGCTCCCTAGGCTGAAGCGGAGGACCACCAATTCAAGGCTATCTGGGCAGCTTAGCCAGACCCTGTCTCAAAATGCAAAAGGCTGGGATGTAGCTCAGTGCAAAGGCCCTGAATTCAGCCCCCTAGTAGCACAAAAGGGGTGGGGTATGGTGGGGGGTAACTCAGTGGCTGAGGGCTTGCCTAGCAAGGCCCTGGGTTCAATCCCCAGGACCATGCACAATAAAATCAGAAGCAAAGAGCAGGGAGGTACTCTTTGCTGGGCTCTGGGGTCACACAGACCTAGATTTGAGCCGGCCTCCACAGCCTGGCTCCGAGACCAGAGGAAAGGCCTGTGTCTCTGAGCCCTGGGCCCCTCCCAGGGTTGAAGGAGAACTAACTGGGTCAGGGGAGCAACGGCTCAGCCTGGCTCAGCATAAGCGCCCAACAAATGGTAGCTTAAAAATAGATAATGAACACAAAACAGCTCCCGGAAACAGCATTTTGTTGCCTTAATCTAGTCCCTGTCACTTTCCTGCTGTCCTCGGGCCCTGAGTGAGCAAACACCTGCCCCGGCTTCCTCTCCAAGAGGCAGGACAGCGCCCCTTTCAGCAAGCAGCTCTGGATCAGCTGTGCGCACAGAAAGCATGTACCATAAATTACCAACAGGCAGAAGCACTAGTGCTTACTTCGGCTATGTAGAGGCAACAATTACACCGAGAGAGCTTCCCAGCGATTAAGCCACTGTATCCCCCGGCAACCTGAAGACACCAACACTGTCACATCCCCTTTTGAGGGCCAAGGACATTGACGGTCACTGAGGAGTACACACAAGGCCAAGCAAGTTGCTGAGGTCACATGGCTGGCAAACGGTGGGGTAGAGATTGGAACCCCAGCTGGCCAAGGTGTAGCCTGAGCTACACCTTGTGGGTGGTACAGGGTGGGCATCAACACAGAGCTCACCATTCTAGGTGCTCAGGCTGTGCCCTGGCCTCAGCACTGCCTGGGCACAAAGGGCTGTTATTAAGGGCACAGGTGTGAAGAGCAGGTGGGTGCTTGGGAGCCCACGAATACTGCAGCTCCAGGGGGCAGGACACATGCAGGCCGCACAAGATGTCCACATACTCCCGGATGAGTCCGTGTGCAGGGTTCAAGTCCTGGCCTTGCTATTTCCCAGCTATGAGGCCCAGCATAAGCCATTCAACTGCCTCCTGCCTCAGTCCTTGTAAAATAAGGACCATAGGTGATACAGAGCCCAAGCCAGCTTCCTGTGCCAAAAACTTTCAGACTAGTACCTGGTAAGCTGTAAGCACTTAGTGATAGCTGAAGGGTAGGTGGCGCCCACCCAACTTGCCCTGCTGCATGTTAAGGCTATAAGTGGCCCTTTATACCCGGGATGGGAGCACAGCTCAACCTGGAGATGGCACTGGGGATGCTCAGACAACATAAGGGAGGGTGGAGAGGGTGTGTCCTGGCCAGGGTGACCTCAGACAGGCCTGGCACAGGAAGCATCGGGTGAAGGACAGAGGAGTTGGGCTTCAGCCTCACATGTCACCTTGCCAGCAACCCTTCCTCTCCGGCCTCTGGCCTGTGCTCCATGTCCCTCCACTCACAGGCCAGTCCACCCAGAACCAGATCTCCATGGCACAGGATGACCAAGGGATGGGGAAGAGACATGGTCACTGAGAAAGTACCCAGGTGCCCAGTGCCTGGAGCTGGTGCCACTTGACACTGCCTGGAGCCCTGGGGGCTTCTGGGGACACCTCAGATGTGGAGAGCTTTTGACTCCTACAGAACCTTCAAAACTCTGCACTCCGAGAGCTGCCTCCTTTCCCACCCGGCTACGGGCACACAGACGGGTGCTGTGCCAGGCCCATGCCTCCTCCATGCCTGCGCACAGTAGGTGTCCTATGAATATCAGCTTGGCCAAGTCTGACTAAGCTTAATGGGCCCAAGCAGTTCATTCCCTTCCCAACTCCTGATTCTGTAGGGAGCCTGCCCATTAGCTCAGGTGTTTAAGTGCCTGCTGAAACAAAGCAGTCAGTCTCAGGAGGCTGTGGTTCGATTCCCTGATCCTCAAGCCAAATCAGACCTGCCCTGAAGGCATCCTGAGTGACCCCACCCCCCCCCCAAAAAAAATCCTTCTGCCATTGGCTCAGGATGCTGTGGTTCGATCCCAACTCCTGATCCCACTTTGACACCAGAGCCACCTTCCCCATGAACCTATGACAAAGCCCCTTGGAGCTCAAGGAGGGGAGGGGTCCTGCTTCTGCCTTAAATCACCCAGAGCCAGATTCCCTCCAGGCCAGTCTGTCCCTCTGCACCTGACTAAGCAACTAGGGGTGACAGATGGGGTGGTCAGTGCCCTCCCCCCTCGCCAAGACCGTTAGGTCAGGGTCGGCAGATCTGGCCAGGTCTAGTGACAGTGCCACCACAGTCAGTCCAGCACCCAGGCTCTGCTGTGGGGTGAGGGCCCCAGGCGGGAGCCCAGCCCAGCCCAGCCCAACCTCTTTCCAAGATGCAGCCTGCTGGGGAGGGGGTCTGAAACCGCCGTGCCCATCCCCCAGCCTCTGTACCCCACTCACAGACAGGGGGTTCCCTGGCCACCCCGAGCCACAGCAGCTGGCCCAGGCGAGAGCAGCTCACTTCAGCTCCCCGGCAGCACCTTGGGGACAGTCAAGGGTGCCAGGTCAAACAAGAGCAAGGGGTTCACTGGAGCATCAGCTGTCCTCTGACCCTCCAAGGTCCTGCCCAAGGTGGGGTAGCTCAGGGTTAGGGGTGTGGGTAGGAAAAGGAGAATCTTCTTCAGAACTTGTTTACCACTCTTAACCCCTTCCTGCCAGGGGCTCTGGCACTGCAGCTGGGGCACGATAAAAGGGAGCTGGGGCGAGGTGTAATAGGTCTGGGTCCTGGGGGGAAGGTCTACTTTATCTTCCCACGCCCCTTTCCTTCCCTAAGAGAGGAGCCAGGGGAAAGCCGAAACCTTCTGCCAGGCGGCCCGCGGGCTGTGTAGCGCCGGGAGGACAGCGCGCCGGCGACCCTGCACTAAGCCACCTGCAGGTGGAAATAGGGCCGGGATGCGGTGACCTCCGTGCTGCGCGCCCCGCCGCTCGCAATCCCTGTCCCGGGCACCGCGTCCCCTAGATGCCGCTGGTCGCCCACCCGCTTGCTCGGAGCGGCTAAGGGCTGGGCAGGTCCCCCGCGCCCCTCACCTCGCGACACGCAGGAGCCCATCACCATCACGGGGCCGCGGGACCGCGCCGCTGCGCCTGGGGTGCGACGGGCCGGGCGCTCATGTCTCCTCCGCCCGGGCTGCGCGTGGCGCGGGCGCAGGGCGGGGGCTGGCGATGGGCGACAGGAGACCGGCAGGGGCTGGGGCTGGCGTTCTCGGCCTTGCTCACGCCCGGGTCGTAGCGGCAGCCGCCTCCCGTGCGACGCTGGTTGCTGCCAGGGGCGGGGACACCACGGGGCGGGGCGGGGCGGGGGCGGGGCCGGCGCAGGCGGAGGGGGGGAGGGCTCGAGAGGAGGGGGAAGGGAAGGGCTGAAGGGGAGAGGGTGCTCCCACCCTCACCCTCACGCACAGCGTCAGACCTGGGCCGGGCGGGGGCAGGGTGGAGTGGGGACAGGTTGGGGGGCCTCTGTTGTTCAGCACCAACCTGAGGCTGAAGGTCAGGAAAGGCAGCAGGGTAGAGAGATTTCTGGCATTGGGGGCTTAAAGTAAGAATTAATTTAACAACAATGACAGGGCTAGTGAGCAGCACACAAGACCCCAGGAGCTTGTTCTGCACAGGATCATAGAAGGCAGTGCCTTGTTGGGGGCCTCAGGTGTGAGGGTCAGCGCCTTTGACCTTGGGCTCCCTCACATGGGAGCTGCTGGCCCAGCATGGGGGGACAGAGGGTGTATTAGTAGCCTCAGCTCTGGACAGGGAACTCTGGTGGTGACCAAAGGGGGTCAAGGGCTGCCTCTCAGGGTTTATTTAGGGCAGGGTAAACTGAGGCACAATTTTTTTGTTTCCATCCTGGTGGCCACCAGTAGAACACCAGTAGGTGCACCTAATCACACACACACTGGTACACTCACACTCACCTATGCGTGAACACACACTCATCCGTGCACCCCCATACTTGCACACACCTACACAGGTGCACATATTTCTACACACTTATATTTGCACACGTGCATGCGTGCGCACGCACACACACACACACACACACACACCAGCTCCAGGAAGTGGGTGACTAGTGGTCCCTTATACAACCCTTCCAAGCTCATAGCACCTCAGTGTCCGAATCACACACTTGAACCTTCTACCTGCCACTGGAGATGGCCCCCTAGGTAGGCGACTGGGGTGGGGCTGGGCTGCCACGCTCAGGCACACGGGGTGACCTAGGTACAGCACCTCACCCGCAGGGCTCTGTTTTTCACTTTTTAGCTGCAGATAAAGAAAATCACCTGATGAAGTGGACATGATGGCGCACACCTGTAATCTCAGCACTGGGAAGGCTGAGGCAGGAGGATCGTTGTGAGTTCAAGACCATCCTGGACTAAAAAATGAGCTTGTGGCCAGCCTGAACAGTGGAGCGAGACCGTGTCTCAAAAAGACTTAAAAAAAAAAAATCACCCAGTGAAATTTCTGTCTGCCTGGCAAACAAAAGGTCCTGCGTTTGGTTCCCAGTACAAAAAAAGAAAAGAAGAAAGAAAGAAAAACTGCTATGAGAGTTAGTGAAATAATACAGGCAATGGGGACAGGGAGATAGCTCAGTGCAATAAGTGTTTGCCTGGCAAGTGCAAGGGCCTGAGTTTGGCACCACTAATAATAATAATAATAATAATAATAATAATAATGGCAAAACTGCCTGGTTCATAGTAGGTATTCAAGAGTAAAACTTAATAGTCAGCCCTCAGTGTCTGTAGGATCTACATTTCCTTGGATTCAATCACCTGT